CAAAGTACTCACATTACCACCACAGCTACTAACAAGTTGATTGTGTTTACAGTAAACTCAGAAGCATGAACATTTTGGAGACAGGGTCTTGGTATGAGGCCTGGAGTTGTCTGAAAGGAAGCCAGTGGCAATTCTACTTCTGTTTCTTTCTTTTTATTTTGAGACAGAATCTCTCTGTGTAGCTCTGGCTGTCGTGGAACTTGCTGTGTAGACCAGGCTGGCCTCATACTCATAAAGATCTGCCTGCCTCTGCCTCCCGAGGTACGTGCTAGCACTGCCTGGCTTCTGTTTCTGGAGTTTATGAGTATGTGCTACCACACCCGGTATAATCATGGACTTTATTTGTAATTGTTTTAGTATCATTTTCAATAAACAGTCTTAAATAAGTAGGATCATATTACTGACCGCCTCGTCAGAATGGTTCAAGATAACTGAACCTCCCAAAGTGACCTCCCAAGGCTACAAGGTCTTGTGGTCTGCAGCCTACAGCTTTCCCTCCCTACAGACTCCTGATATGTAGCAGATGGACTTTATGTGGCAGAGCTGCCCCACTGGCCTAGAGTCTATTTACTGACTGCATATGGCCAACTATAACATCCACATAAAGCTTCCCGTCTTCAGACCAAGATGCTTCCTTTCATCTGATAACATCCACATCAACACATTTTCTTTTTTAGTTAAAGTGCAGGCCAACACTCTTACGAGTTCCATTAAACAGCAGACTACACCCCATTCTGTTAACAGCCCAGGAACTCTAAGAGACGCACTTACTTGTCAAAGCTAACTTGAGCTAATCCGGCTGTAAAAGCTCCATCATCAACCACTTGGGCCAATCTAGCCCATGCTTCCGAAGCCGCACATCTCAAAAGGGGGTTGGGACTTTCTAGGGCTCCCAACACTAATGTAAGGACAAGTCTTCTTACTTCTGGACCTAAACTTCGTTTAGAGCCAGCCACATACTAAAGTAGATGAAAAACAATTAAAATGTATAATTACAGCAAATTTTCTGATTTAGTTTGAAATATATATTCTTGTCAATCAAGTAAGTTCATCACTTAAGAAAACACAGAACACAGAAATCACTACTCACGAGGTCCATAAAATGAATAAATGGACACTATCATGTTTTACTGAGTAAGATGTTGTAGGGCAGCAGTTGGATTTGGTCCATAGACCACAGCTCACAGGTGCCCATTCTAGGATGTCAGGTTTAGTCAGCTAAGGTGCTGCACTGAGTCAAGGTCAGTTGATAACAAGTTGTTGTTGTTGTTTTTTTTTTTTTTTTTTTTTTGAGATAGGTTTTCTCTATGTAACCAAGGCTTGTCCTGCGACTCACTTTGCAGACCTTGAAACTCTTTGCTGGCCTTGAACTCTTAGAGATCTGCCTGCCTCTGCCTCCCAAGTGCTGGGATTAGAGGCGTGTGCGCCACTACTGCCTGGCTTACTAACAAGTTTTATATGAAGAAAAAGTAAAGGACAACTCTCCATCCTGAAATATTTTTATCAGAAATTAAGAAAAATGAATAATAAATTTCTCTAGACGCATCATAATAAAGCCTACTTAGCTACAAACTTACTTAATTCCAAAATACCAAGTAGATAGTAATTTAAGTAAAATTACCTTCAATAAATTAGAAACGGCACAAACAACATGCAACTGAACTGTCTGCTGACGCGCTCCTTTGCTGTGCTTTATGCTGGTCAAGAGCTGCTCCAGTATCAGAGTCCTGAAATCAGAAGCCACAGGAGTTAACTGCAGCTGAGACTGCTGGCCAACCAGCTGCGGAGCCGCCGGACACCTGCTGATTCTGTTCCTGTTTGGTGGCAACTACTAAAGTGAGAAGCTGTTATCCAACACCTTAAACATTTCAAGGAAAAAAAAAGACACATCATAACCATAGGAAAATATTTTTATAAAGGGCCACTCCAGCAGCAGGGGAAAAAACCATTGTTTTATGAAAAAGACTACTACTGTCTTGTCTCAAGAGATTTTTTTATTTTTCCCTTGGGAAATTCAGCTACCTCACTCATTACCTGTAATCTACATACAATTTTTTGCCCACTCTTCCTGACTTTCAGTCTATGAAACATGGGGAAAACTCTTTAAATGTAGTCCTTAACATTTTCAAAACTCATACTTTATGCTCCTTAGGTTACCTGCGGTAGCTGTAATTGTGAGAACACACTCTAGTAGTTGGTGCTCCCAAGGCTGTGTGGTAGGGGTTCGTGGTCCCAAGCTTAGAGCCAAGGTAAAGTAGGAACTACTAGGAGGTTTCTGGGTCACTGCTGTCTCCTCCAAGAAGACTAAGGACCGGGGTCTTCAAGTCCTTTGCATCCTGGCTGTGTGGTAGGGGTTCTGCCCTGGCAGGCAGTCCCAACATGACATGCATCAACCACTGACTGAACACTTTGTGAGCAAAAATAAACGTTCTTTATTATAAATTGGTTATCACAGGTATTTATTAGACTCAGAGAAAGCTGACCAACTGAATGCTATTATTTGAGAATATCCTAATTCATATATTCAATGTTGACAATTACACAAACATTTGTAACACATGACCTCTTTAATATTACAGAATTTTGCCTCTTTACAAAGAGCTCATGTAAACCAGGCAGAAAGGCACAAAGTTTGCAACTCTAATAGTCAGGAGGATGAGAGAGGAGGATCCTGAGTTTACGGCCAGCCTGGGCTGTGTAGTGAGTTCAAGGCATTCTTTTTTTTTAATGCCATTTAAAAACAGAGGTTTTGGGGGCTGGAGAGATGGTTCAGCGGCTAAGAGCACTGATACTCTTCCAGAGGACTAGGGTTCGATTCCCAGGACCCACATGGCAGCTCACAACTGTCTGTGACTCCAGTTCTGCAGGATCCAACACCTTCACACAGACATATATGAAGGCAAAGACACCAATACATATAAAATAAATAATTTTTAAAAAGAAGTTTTAATTCCTTATGTTGAGATTCAAGACTTTTACCTGTGAGGCAAGCCATACCACCACCCTATCAATTTCCCCCTAAAACACTGTTTCTGGGGTTAACACTTTCTCTCCATTTAAATTAAGAAAGCAGAAACAATACTAAGAAGTATTTTGTAGGCTTGGAATTAAGATGGCAGCAACAGCACCTTGAAATGTCCCGTGTGTTAGGGATGTGGCTGGAGGTCATGCACCCATCACACCAGCATAAAAGAGCTGCATCAGGAAGGTACAAACAGTGCCAGCTGGGGAGACCCTACCACACTCGGGTGTCCCTGAGTGCTGAATCAGATCTCTGTCATTTTAAAACCTTCATTTATTTGTGTATTTGTGTGTGTGTGTGTGTGTGTGTGTGTGTGTGTGTCAAGGGTGTCAGGACAACTTTATGGTGCTGGTTCTCTTTCTACCTTGAGATTTTTCTTCCCATTTGCTTGTTTACGAGGAGTACATATGTATGCCACAGCATGTGTGTAGTCAGAGAAATGCCCTTCAGGCTCTCTTCTCCACCTAGACATGAATCCCAGGGATGGAACTCAGGATGTCAATACAGCAGCGAGGGGCCTCACCCCTCCCCCAACGCCCAGTCATCTTGCAGGCCAGATCTCTATCAGAGTGTTGAGGTCACAAGGCTTACAGTTCTGTCCAGTAGCAATTTTGTTATCAAAGTAAAGGAGATATGGGTGTGATCTTTTTAAAAGCCCAAAAGTGCAGGAAGTTTGATGGAAAAAGAAGGCTAATAAAAATTGCAGGTCACCAAGGGCTGAGAGCATCTCACTACTCCAAAGTTCACTTCCAACCCTGGCATCTAGGAAGATTTCAGAATCTTTATTTTTATTTTTAGACCCCCACTCCAGGATTATGGAAATAATTTTCAGAAAACTGGGCTTACACTGCACTTTTCAGTGTTATGACTTACTTTTTTCTTTCTAAGCATACTGTCCCACATTTCCCCATTTTATTAATGATTACAGAAAAACACTTTTAAGTAAATATTAGTATCAGTCTATCAATAGAATAATTTATTTTGCCAATGTCTTTGTTTGAGAGCTTGAGACCATTTGTAATTTTTTTTTTTGACAAAAGAAGCAAGAATAATTTAATACTCTGGATTAGCTCTCCAAACAAAGGATACTAATGGGAAAGTAGCAAAATTCAAATAAAAACCTGAACTGAACAAACAGTAACCCATTAATGTCAGTTCCTGGTAACACTGAAATGTCCACCATGGGAACTCTGTAAGCAGGACCCAAACACACTTTTCTATAAACCTAGTATTTTTCTGAAAGTTTATTTTTAACATGTTACAAAACTGAGTTTATTATTCTGGAGAAAACAGCCTGCAGACTTGGTATTAAAAGATATCTACACTGTAGAATACTATAAGAAGCACCAGCCAAGGCTTTCTGCTGCCTTCCTGAACATTCTAAGTACTCCATACACACCACCCACACCTCACACAGGCACAGGAAAGGAAAGGGAAAGGAAGTCCCTGTTCCATGTACCTCATGTTCCAGGCTGAGAACGTTACTACAAAGCTCCGGAGGCGAAGGAGGACAACGGTTGACACTCTATAGTCAATGCCACCGAGCAACACACTGGAAAGCAGCTCAAATGGGAAGCTTTATATTATGTATATCTCACAACTTAAAGGAAAAGGTACAAATACATACGATAGCATATATAAAATTTAAATAACATAATCTAAATCTTGTCAAACAAAAGACTCATGTGAATCTGTTCACAAGATGTTCAAAATGTCGCTATATATACCTATGAATATTAAAAAAAACACTGAACTTTACAGTTGAAATTGTTTATGACACATGAATTATTGATTTGTACTCCTAAGAGTACAGTATCCCATAAATTATAGACCCACATTCCAATGACATGCTGAGAAAGAACAAAGTTAATAAAAACGTTGACTCAGGATGGTTGGTAGATGAGGAAAAGTCTGTGCCTGACCACAGGGTTCTCCAGTCACAGGGCAAGAGCAAAGGCAGGACCATAAAACACAGGAATGAAGCTGACCAAAGACCTTTATTCTGGTCTCCTCACTCACTGAGCCACACTTATGCGGAACAGTCCTCTCATGGCTGCCCCAAGCAGCATCAGCTACATCCAGGCTGTGGAAGACAGACTGAGGAAGGGAAGACTTTGTGGAGATCTCTGCAGCTTGGGGAAAGTAGAAGAAGAAGATTGTGCGCACGCGCAGACTCTCTCCAAAGCTGAGGCTTGCACAGGGAAAGATGAAGGACGCAGCAAAGGCTCACCGAGTCATCCAGCTCCGTAATCAATCCAAGGTACCTTCTAGAAAAGCAAACTCATCCACAGCTTCTATTGCATTATCCAAATCTCTCCTCTGGAGGGTTTTCCTCTTTCCTTGTTGAGCACAGCAGTAGGCATCCTTTGCGATGGTCTCCACGAACAGTTCCGCGGCACGCGCCAGGATAAAGATGGCTTCCTGTCCCGCGAGCGTTACGTCAGGGTCCGCCTTCACCAGAGCCTTCACTCTGGTCAGAGGCAGCCTGGAGAGCCGAGCCCCGGGCGCAGTCATCTGGGCTTGGGCCTGCGTAGCCCCGGCCTCCCCTCCGGGAGCCTCCTCCTCTCTGGGCGTCCCGCTCCCAGCCGCCGCCGCCATCCCATTTGTAATTTTTTTGTTTTGTTTTTTGAGACAAGATTTCTCTGTAGCTTTAGAGCCTGTCCTGGAACTAGCTCTTGTAGCCAAGGCTGGCCTTGAACTCACAGAGATCCTCCTGGTTCTGCCTCCCAAGTGCTGGGATTAAAGGCGTAAGTCACCACTGCTCGGCAGCAATTTTTCTTAATAAAAAATATGGTAGCTATTTATGGTGGTACTGCAATGCTAGTACACAGGAAGCCAACCCAGAAGGACTGTTGAATTTGAGGCCAGCCGGGGCTACACAGTAAGCTTCAGGTAGCCAGGACGGTACAGTAAGACTCTCTCAAAATTAACAACATAAACCACCCCACCCTTTAAACATAAACATTTGTGCTTTAGTACTAGCAATGTAAACTTTTCTTATTTTTAGATTTCTATGGTTAGAATACAGTCACCTAGTCCAAAAGAAAATTTCCGTTCCATGAGATAAACAGAGGATAAAGGAAAGTTTGTTGCCTTCACTCTTGTGGAGCCCACAGAAGTGGATCTGTTCCATCTTGACTAAAGGTCAGAGTTCAGACCTATTCCTGCTCCTTCAAGGTTAAACAACAAGATGTTTGACTAAAGGTGTGGTTACTGGATGCCTTACTCTTCAAAGGCCAGTCAACAGGATGCTTTGACTTGTAGGGAGGTGATTATACTTGCTTGCTCTATGTATCACGGGAGTCTTGTGCCCTCCTCTCGTGATCGGGTATTATAAGAACTCTGAGGAATAAACCTGGGGCTGATCACAGTACTCACTGGATGCCCTTCTGACTCTGTCTGTTCCTCGTCTATTTCTTTCCTCAAACCACACTCCCCTTCTCAGGAACGTATGGAACCATCAGGACAGATGGGATCACAATTTGATCCTTGGAACTCACGTGGCAGAGGAGAAACTGATTTCCACACGCCTCACCGCTAACTAACGGAATGAAATAATAATACTAGATTCTTTTAAAAAAAGATTGGGGGAGTAAGATGGTTCGGTGGGTAAAGATGCTCGCCACCAAGTCTGAGAAAGCCAGTGCAATCCCTTCCCACACAGTGGAGAGGAGAAGTGACCCCTGCAAACTGTCCTCAGACTCCCACCGTATAAAATGTATTTTATTTATATGTGTCTGGACATGTTGTGCATGAGCATGTGAGGAGCCAAAAGCAGACTTCAGACTCCTGGGGCTGGAGTTACGGTGCTTGGGAGCTGTTGATGTGGCTGCTGGGGTTCACAATCTGGTCCTTTAATAGGGTAATACGCACTCTTAATCTCTGAGCATCTTTCCAGTCCCAATAATTTCAATTATAAGTACATAAATACAGTAAAGAATTTATTTTAAAATTAGAATAATCTTACTGTTTAAACATAATACCAGTCACAATAAGAATAAAAAGCTCTGAAACATTTGAAAAATGGATACTTTTCTTTTTTCATTTTACTTGTTGATTGTTTTTTATTTTTGTTTTTTTTTTTGTTCTTTGAGACAGGGTCTCTCTGTAGCTTGGAGCTTGTCCTGGACCTTGCTCTGTAGACTAGGCTTGCCTCGAACTCACAGAGATCTACTTGTCTCTGCCTCCCGAGTGCTGGGATTAAAGACATGTGCCACTACCGCCCGGCCTGTTTGTTGGTATTTTCAGGGGGAGAAGGTCCCCCAGTCTATTCATGCTCCACTGGTACTGAGAACTATCCTGCCTCAGCCTTCCTGCACTAGGATCACAGGTCTGCACCACCACACTGGCTAAGTAGAGATACTTTAATTAAGCTCACTCTTCTCTAAAAATATAAGAATAGAACACAAAAAGAAAAAGAAAGCATTTGTAGTGAGGAGATGCTCAGTTAGGAATTTAGTGCCCTGCACTTATATAAAACCAGTGGTGGCCCTGAAACCCAGTGCTGGGGAGACAGAGACAGAAGGTCTCTGGTCGACTTAGCTAGTTCCAGGCCAGTGAGAGACTTATTTTTTTTTTAATTTTATTTAAATAACATTTTTTCCATTTATTTAGTATACCAACCAGTTTCCCTGCCCTTCTCTGCTCTAGTCCCCTCCCTTTTCCCATCTACCCCACTCCCCATCCACCCCTCCTCCATCTCCATTTAGAGAGGGATAGGCCTTCTGTGGGCTTGCATAAAGCATGGCACAAATCAGGGCAGAACTGAGCTCCTCCCTTTATACCCAGGTAATCCAGTATGGGGAACAGGTGATCAAAAGTCAGCTAACTGCCAGGGAGAGAGCCTGCTCCTACTGTCAGAAGTCTTACTAAGAGACCAAGCTACACGACTGTCAGCCACCTGCAGAGGGCCTAGGTCGGTCCCATGCAGGCTCCCTAACTGTTGGTCCAGTGTCCATTAGCTCCCACAAGCTCAGGTCAGCTGTCTCTGTGGGCTCCCCCATCCTGAGAGACTTAATGAAGGTAGGCTGTGATCTGAAAAATGACCTGGTGGTTATCCTCTGGCCGCTATACGCATGCACATGCACCTGTACAGACACGAGTCCAGTCAGACCGGTCATGAGTGAGAGCCCAAAGTGGGACACAAGAGACCAGGTACTCTAGTCACCAGCATCTCTCCTGTTTCTCTAATGACAGCCACCGAGTTATGCCAACCTACTTTCTGTTTCTGGGATCCTGCAATGCCATTTCCTTTAAAAAACAAAAAGCCACAAACTATGGCCTACTGTTTTTATTCACATCAAATCAAAACAGAAAAAAAAAAATCAAAACAGATAACAGGTTTTGTTTTTGTTATATCTGAACATTTTAATTACAACAAATAAAACCTCCTTTCAAATACTTGAATACTCATTATATTATTATAACCTAGGTAGGGAAGACGAGAATAATTTAAACTTCATTAAATGTAATAAAATAAGAAACCATCTCCTTGAAACTCTAACTAGACAATACATCAGAAACTTGTCTACAAGAGAAAGTCACTCTGTCGTAAAGGGAAGGACATTCTTGGTACTAGAAGGTCTGCAGAAGACGTGGGCCATGCATAGCAAACTACTGGACTTGCTTCAGAAACTACTCCATGGCCAGACTACTGCTGAAGTTTCCACCAAGGGATCGAACTGCTATCCACTAGGGGACACGATGAGATGAAATGACAGAATAGAGACCACGATCTGAGTCAAATGCGTCGTGGTCTAGAGTGAAACGTTGGGGGAAGAGGGAAGGAGAGAAAACATGAGTGGGTAAGAGGGATAATCCGTAAACTCCCGATCAGCGCAGTCGTCTAGTTTCTCTGAGAACAGCGTTTCCTGAGCACTGGACTTTGATCCCTGACGTAGGTTTATGCCCAGGTCACCAGGTAAGAACCTGGCATCTTAAATGAGAAATCATTCATTAGCCTTTGGTATTTTCAAAACCCCATTTCCTGTGTGCCAGGCTTATGGCAGATGCATCTAGTAATTTCTTATCAATGTTATCTACAGTGAAAACAGACTTTACCTCACCCGTCGCCGGTGACATTCTGACGGCACTCCTCCCCCACCAGCAGTGAGTTCATTAGACACACGCTACGCTTCACGATAAGCAGTCACAGAAGAGACTGACCTCTGAGTTCGTTAGACAGACGCCACACTTCACGATAAGCAGTCACAGAAGAGACTTACCCCTCAGCTTCTTCTACATTAGCACAGACAACCCCGAAGAGCTTGGATGCGGAGTTAGACACCGATAGTGCTGGGGGCAGGGGCTTAGGCACGGAGTCTCCTCCTACGTCCTTCTCATAGATGGAGTAAGGGTCGTATTCTAGACTTCCACAAGCAACACCATTACCAAGCAGGAGCTGGATGGGGGCAGAAAAAGTAAATAAGGGTTAAAAAAAATCATTCAAGACAAAAATCTCCTCAAGAATTATTCTAAAGCCATTATACCTGTTCTTCAATAAACCTGTGGTCAGTCTCTTGAAGCAAAGGACTCAATATCAAAAGGTCATCTGGGTGACAAAGGGCTGGAAGTAAACATGCAGAGGCTGCTGCTTGGGCGTCAGGGGCAGTCAGTTCAGCAGCCAGCTCTTTGAGGATAGCACTGAGGTTCCCTGTAGAGTCAGAGAAAAAGAACAATTAGCAATTTGGTAGCTATTGTCCTTAGAGTATGGGATAAAGGAAAGCTCAGGTTGACCGACTTTAAAGTCTCACAGCCTAAGACTCTACCTCTCATCTTCAGTAACTGCACCACACATGAACAGCTCAGCTGTTATCCACAATAGTGAAATGACAACGTGAAGCTTATACTTGCAGCAGTTAGTACATGTTACCACTGCTTAAAATAAAACTACAGGAAGAACAAAAGTACATGAGTCCAATTCTTTCACGCCTTAAGCATTTAATAACTGTGTATAAACACATCTGTAGAACTAAACACCTACACCTAGCAGGGCATGGTATTAATCCCTGCACTTGGAGGCAGAGGCAGGCAGATCTCTGAGTTTGAGGCCAGCCTGGGACTCTAGGACAGCCATGGCTTTATAGAGATGTTATCTCCATACAAAATAAAACAACTGAAAACGCTGGGTATGTAGCCCAGTGCTATGACACTTGCCCTGCATGTTTAAGTCCCTAGGTTCACTCATTAGCATCAAGGAAGAAAAATTTAGCCTGGCAAGGTGGTATACTCCATCTAAGGAGGAGGATGACACAGGAGGATTGCTTGAAGCCAGGACATGGAAGGAAGCCTTCCTGGACACCCACCATCATTTCATCTCAAAAGAAAAAGGAAGACAGATAAGCAGGAACAAACTGGTTTACAGCACAGCAGAGACTGAAAACACTACACACTGACTAAGAAAAACATCGGCAGCATTATAGGACTGCCTTTGAGGTTTCTAGCGGAGGCAGTGCAGTATGAAACAAACTTTTTTTTGGTTTGTCTTTTTAAGATAAGAGCTCACCATGCAGTACAGGGCAGTACAGGCTGGCCTTGAACTCACAATCTCCTCAATTCTAGGTTGGGCTCCCAGTTCAAAGATTAGAATGTGTGCCACTAAACCCAGCC